GATAATTTCATAAGCTCTTGTTTTAACCTTTTCACTGGACTTGCATTTTACTCTCTTGCTCTTTGTTCATGTTTATAACATCATTATTTTGGAGGCGTCAGACCTGCTTAAGTTTGGATGTTCCTTTCATTTTATTCATTCATTAATTCATTTTCTTTTTGGCTTAGTCCATTTATTAATCAGGGGTCGTCACAGCGGAATGAACCGCCAACTTATCCAGCATGTGTTTTACACAGCGGATGCCCTTCCAGCTGCAACTCATCACTGGGAAACATCCACACACACTCATTAACACACATACACATACAGACAATTTAGCTTAACCAATCCCCCTATAGTACGTCTTCGGACTTGTGGGGAGCATCCAGAGGAAACCCACGCGAACACAAGAACATGCAAACTCCACACAGAAATACCAACTGACCCCAGCCAAGGCTCTAACCAGTGACCTTCTTGCTGTGAGGCGATCATACTACCCACTGCGCCTTCGTGACATTCTCCTTTATTTAATGTAATTTCATCAATTAAAATGAATAAATGGTCTATGCAATCAATCCTTTAGCAGCAGAGAAAATTTTTAAGAATATAGCAACTTTTCAGAGTTTAAAATGTTAAATATTAAAATAATTCCCTACTGAAAATAAACAGCTTTAACCGGCTGGTTGGCTGCTTTTAGCCAAGAGACAACCTCCCGCTCTAGCCTCAGGAAGCCAATACGGAAGTAACTAAAACTGCAATTCATCCGAAATTCCGCTAGTCCTGCTGGCCGCTCCTGGCTCCAAAACAGAGCAAATTGGAATGGCCAACAGCAAAAAAAAAAGGTGTTTACAGCCTGGTACAAAAAAATATTTTGGTTAATACAGCTAATATTACCTTTCATGACAACTGTGAGAAGGGTGAATTTTTTATAACTCATCCGTTTCCTTTATATTAAAAATATGTTAAGTTTGCATAATTAAGGGCGTGGCCACTTGAGTGACAGCTAGGTCTCGTTGGTCGCCGTCACGTCACCTCAGCTGTAACCTGCAGATTAGCCACTGAACTCGGCATATTTATCGTATTTCTGTGTTGTTTTATGTGGCTTTACACAGTCAACTGCCTTTTGGACTTGTTTCCTACAATTATTTGATGGCATGCTGTGCACTTAATTGTGCTCACAAACCATTCACGTGGCCTCCGTTTCCCATGTGAGTAAAGTTATATACTTATATACCATCTCTGTTCATGTATTTGTTGTATTTAAGATCATTTACCGTTTATATTTATATTTAGAGCTGTAATGCACTCCAGAATCTGACAGATTGATTAGCTGTGGTCTCTATAACAGTCATCTGAAGCATTGTACAGTGTTATGCTAGATGTCATCAATAGTCTTACATTAACTAACACAGACTATATCTGAAGTGTTTGGAAGTAATTCACGTTTTCCTACTGTTGTAAAACGTCATAAGAACAATGTTTAGTGGCTCTGTGTATTAGGTCCAAGCTAAATGCCAGCAGGTGTAGCTCCGCTCACTCTCCGCCTCTTTGCCCTTGTTTGGTATCCCGCCGTGGGTGTGATGACGCGCGAACAAAATGGCGACGGTTGGCCGCGCCTACTTGTGGCTTCTTTTTTATATATGTATAAAATGTAAAATATATATATATATATATATATTTTTTTTTCAAACAAACTTTTATTTAGAAACTTGTGGCTTCTTTTGCGCTCCTTAGAAACCTATGGGTGACGTCACGGATAATACGTCCATATATTTTACAGTCTATGGTTTTAGCTGGTCAACCAGGCTGGTTTTAGAGGGGTTTGGGCCATTTCCAGCCTAGTCTTAGGCTGGGAGATGACAGCTGAAACCAGCTCAACCAGCCTAGCCAGTCTGGGAGCCCAGCCAAAACCAGCTGTGTTAGGCTGGTTTTAGCTGGATTTAGCTAGTCATTTTCCAGAGCTGACCAGCTAGGACCAGGTTGTAAATGGCTGTAATAGCCTTGAAATGGCCAAAACCCCTTTAAAACCAGGCTGTTCAACCAAACAAGCCAACCAGCCTAGGCTGGTTTAGGCTAGATTTTTCAGCAGGGTTACAAAGTCATTGTGAAACTAGTTTAAAACATAGGCCTAAAACATATAGATGCAATACACCCAGAATCTATGTTTAGACCTATTTCAATCCTAGTTTTACAACCGATGATAAATTAGGCTAAACTGGTATTTTAACAACAGATACAGACCATTCGCAATTTTTTTGTTTAGCAATTAGCATTTCTTGCTGTTTAGCAAATTTTTCGAATCTGCCGATTCAATTACATTCGTGATTCGTCGCATTTCCCGTCGTAAAAAGTCAGCCAATCACCATTGAGTGTTTCACTTTCAGTCACCGTGGAAATGTTTGTCTGATAGCAAATCATGCGGCAACAGTTTTGAGGAGAAAAGATTTTCCAAACTGGTCAGAAGCAACAGGATGGCTTTTACATCAAGTTCATAAAGCCAACGTTAATAGGTGAGTTAAATTTTTACTTAAAATATTTATAGCATCTTACTGCATGAATATCAATAAAAAGCGATAAAGGCTGGTTGGTAGGCATATAGTCAGTTAATGTGAAAAGGACATGGTGAAGTGGAAAAACACACAATCTTCACATTGTAACCTGTTTAGTTTATAAGAGTACAATATAGATTTAGAAAATGTCTGTTTGCATAATTATTTATCACTTCATATATGAGGCTCAGGTTTGCCCTCTAGTTTCTAAAGTCCAGACAGAGATCTCTGCTTTTCTTGATGTCTATAGTGATTCAATCTGGTTCAGCTGCTGTCTTTATATATTTGATAACTGCTTTATAAAAAAAACTCAGAGATTTAGGTTTCAAGAAGTGCTGAGCCTTTATTTCCAAACCACAATGCATTATATAATGTCCTTGCAGTGCACATTTTGTTCATTCACAATACATGCATTACTTGCTAAATATGTTTTTTTTTTTACATTACAATAATACTGTCCAAAATTGTAAAGTGTTACAGTACATTTGTTGTGAGACTTTCATCATAGTAAACAGAATTATGAAAAGGCATTTTAGATGAAGGCTCATGGTGCAAAACAGTAAATTGCAATCACTGTAAGAAAAAATATATTCACAAAACATTTCTACTAGTTACGGTAGATACAAAAAAAAACAATATTAAGTTCATTGTAATACAACTATATAGCCCAATAACATAGCAAGGAATACATATCAAACATTTCAGCGCAGCTTAAAAGTTAGCATGTAGGCTTAACATGAATATAATTTTTATATTGTTATGGTTATTTATTCTTTTTTCTGCTTCCATGTTGAGCTTGAAATTGTAAAAACACACACACACACACAATATATAATTACAGTGTTATGTTTGTGACATTTGCAGTGAAATCTCAAAACATAAATTCACATAGAAAGCAGATGTTAACATTATATTAATACTTTAGGTTATATTTTACAGAGCAATTGACCACAGAGTTAAGGGACCAGAAAAATATCGATCTGTAAACATGTTTTATATTTTAAATGAGGATACTAAACATGCATTATGGATGTGTCAAAAAAAGTCTGCGGCTTTACAGTATACAACATACTTTGTAAAAATTCTGTGAATTAAACTGCACAACCCAAAACAGACAATGGTAATCAAAAGGATAAGAGTTGGCTCTCTATATAAAAAAAATATCGATTTTATTATATTTAATTTTGTCACATTTATGAGGAAAAAGTGTCGTTATGGATGTGACATCTCTCCTTTATAGATGTGACAGAATTTCAGAAATTGCCACTTGTGTGATTTTGGTAAATCAAATAGAATAGTTTGAAAACATTGACAAATGCATTTTTGAGTATTTCTAAAGTACTTGCTTACCCAAAAAACTTAGAAACCGTTTCTGTATTTTGGTGAAAACCTTTTTTTTTCATGGCAAGGTTGACATTTACACAGAATTGCTCATATAACCTCTAAAATTTTGTATTTTAAGCTGATTGTATATTTACAGTCACATTGTCTCTTTTGGCAAATGTAAATATCTTCTTTTTTAATATAATGATTAATATAAATCTCCCAAAACCGCATTAAATCCATACACAAAACATTCCCTTGTAAGCTTCATCTTTTATATGTAGAGTTGTTTTTTTCTGTATTTGTTTACACTCTGCAGTACAACTGACACTGGAGAAAAAAATGTCATTGGAAAAGAAGAGTTAGTTATCAAAACATGATCTGACTGACAAATGAGCAGCAAATGATCTTACTAAAAACTTTCTGCATAACACAAATTAAATAAACGGGCAAAAAACATTTTTCCAAATAAAGTGCACTTAAAAGCTATATATACAGTATATTGATGAGCTGTTTTACTGTACAACATATGACATGTTAACAATTATTAATTTTGCACACCTGATCTAAATTAAGAAATCGCTGAGGGGTTTTTATCACAAACAGTGGTCAGATGTTGAAGATAAAGTTCTAAATCATTATAATGATGCAAATGTTGTCCAGGTCAAGTAAAATATGTTGCATCAGCTTGCAAAAAAAATTATTTGCAGAACAGTCTTGGGTCGTCTGAGATCTTTGTGAGTTAATGTGCTAAGCTTGTATTTAGACACTAATAAATAGGTTTAGATTAAAAGTAAGTTGCTCTTTGTAAAAAAAAAAAGCATATTAGACAGCATGTGAGCAAGTGATCTGTACTGAACATGAACCATAAATAAGCTTAAATTATAACCGCTGATGATGACAGACTTTACTGAAAAGCTTTCTAAAATTTGATGATTCTGCTGGTGACAGAGGCATGTAAAGATATTTATATGATGATTTTTACTATAAAAGAAGCTACATGATTATTTAAAAAATGCTGATGTTTATATGGAAAGTATAAAAATTTCAAACTATAATAGTTTGAAAAGACGAAGGACAAAACCCAATAGGGTTTTCTGTGTTTTTTTTCTCTTCCAGTGTTTTGTTTCTAGTGTATTGATTTTTTTATTTATTTATCTCCCAGATCTCACCCATCAGACCACCTTCCCGAATGACTGCTTATGTAATTTTCTGTTTGCTGTACTGAACTCAGTGCTTGATCGCAGCTGTGTAATGAAGGCCCTCAAGAGTTTGTCCAACTTTGTGAAATGGGTTCTGGTGTCATGTGGTTCGCCCCTGACTGTCTGCCCACTAATGATGAATTTTACTTCCCCACACTCAGTGTTTTGTTTCTAGTTTGTTGTTTTTTACCAGCACCTTTCGAGACCCCGAGATCAGCCTTCCGTGACACTTCTGATATTTGTGTGAAATGCCAGTTTGCTTTTACTCTTCCTCAGAGTCCGTAAGTAAATATTAACTTAAAGAGATCACATTTTAAATAAAGAAAAGTCGGTAACACTTTAGAATAATGGTCCATCATTTAATTTTAGCTAATGTATTTATTTACTAACATTATCTAAGTATGAATAATGTTGTATAGCATTTATTAACCATAGTTTAACATTTACTAATGCATTATTAAAATCCAATGTTGTGCTTGTTAACATTACTTAATGCTCTGTGTTCACGTTATTGACTAATGGACCATTATTTTAAAGTGTTACTGAAAAGTCAAGTTAAACCATTTATCTTGGTTGCAGCGGTATTCTCTCTTCTTGTTGTTCATTCGAAACATTCCCTCTTGTGGTTTCTGAAAGAAAATCAAGATCACAGGATTTAAAAAGGGAAAAACAAAATGTTTCTGCAACAAACATCTACAAATGTAAAAGCTACTTTTAAGTATCCAAACATTCTGAAACCAACATGAAACTAAATATGGTAATAAAAAACAAACCTATTATTCTCCAGTATGATGATTTTGTTTTTCAAAATAAATCAAAAAAGTTTTTCAAAATTGTCCTAAGACATAAAATTGTCTTTAATATTTATGGAACAACTCTGAAGGTTTTGATCCACTTAAAATGTTGAATACTGTGTGTGTGTGTGTGTGTGTGTGTGTGTGTGTGTGTGTGTGTGTGTGTGTGTGTGTGTGTGTGTGTGTGTGTGCGTGCGTGCGTAGTGCATGCGTGCGTGCATGAGATTAACATTACAAAACATAAATTAATATACTTTGTATGCACAGTGTGTATATAATGGTTCTGGTTCTTAAATCTGACTGGCTGATAGCCATGCAATATTGTGCAAATAACAGCACCCTTCACCCTTGTGTATAACTCCACCCACATATAGCAACAAGCAGAGGACACTCTACAGTTTGACAAATATTGCAGCTGTTGGACAACATAATGTCCTTTTGATGATTTTTTTTTTATTCAAGAATGTAGTTGTTTAGTTTACAACTATGCCGTTTATTTATAAGGACAGTGCCTATTTTAAAGTATTTATACTCTGAGAGACAGAAATTATAAATTTCTGTCGGTGGCCATTAGCCTGTCATTGAGCAAAGAGGGTTGACATAGCAATTGTAGAGTATTGAGTGTGAGATGGGACTCGCATATCAGGAATATATGTATTTTGTGTTGGCCACACTTTGTATAAGCCCGAGTTACTTTTTAAATGGCTATCTTTTAGTTTCTAGTGAGTCTCCTGTTTTCCTTACTGCAGACTACTTCAGTAAAAAGAAAGAAGAAATGGCCAAAAGTGTTTAGCATTTTTACCCATCACAAACACAACAGCAATCTGGTAGTGATTGCTTTGCTTTGGATTTTTAGATGATATTTATTGTTATCTCCCAATTCCAAGAGAAAAATACTGGGAAATTCCTGTAGACTGATAGGATTTCTGTTCAGCCTTATAATCTTAAAATGTGAGCAAAATCACCTGTTTTGTCATCACTTTAGACATTACGCAAGAGAATCAATCAAATAGTAACTTTAAAGTGATGTTGGTGAATTAGTAACAGTTTTTGCTGTTCTGACCACAGCCACAGATGTGAATGAAAGGCGGAAGAAAGTCATCCCTCATACAAAAGGGATTTTTTTTTTATAAATGATTATGTCGTCGAACTGTTGTATAAATGCAATATCACACTCGTAGCAGTGGGATATGGCTGTATATTGTCACTGGTGGGACACACATCTCCCACCAGTGCTAATATACAGCCATATTCCACTGCTACTCATGTGATATTGCTCATTTATACAGAGAGAGAGAGAATATATCTGTAAATTCTGCAAACTCCTACAAAATTAGGCCACTGATAATGAAATAGTGAAAACATAAATAATATAATTCAAAATCTAACAAAAAGTGTTTTAGGCGTAATTAACATGTTTATGCTCTTTGGATAAGGGATTCATAAAGGTAAACAACAAAATCATAATTCCAAGGCACTCAAGGCCTTTATTAACATGACTATTATTTAAAAAAAAGCCCTGTTAAAATATTTTTTTTTAAATGAGGCTGTTATTTTAAATAATAACCATGTTAGTTAAGTTTTTTTTTTATTTACTTTTTGAGTGCCTTGGCTTTTGCTGCTTTATAAATATTATAATTGAAAAGTTAAAATATTTTTAAGCATCACTAATAAATAAAACATTTTACAGTAACAAAATTTGTGGTCTGTGCCTACTCGTGCATAACATCCCTTATGAGCTGAAGTGCTGACATATTTCATTTTGACTTGAAATTGCATTTTGACCTTGAGTGGAAATATATGCAAAGATTCAAAGATTAAAACACTGTCACCCATGTGTAGAAAAATGGCACTTGTGCAGAAATAAAGAGTTATTTGAATAAATTTAGTTCTACTCACCTTTGACAACTTTGAATCTCCTGAATCTCGTCCGTTCTTTGTTGATGATCTGTAGATGAAAATATCCATAGTCTTCATCTGTGATGTTTCTGATGGTCAGAGATCCAGTCTGAGTGTCCAGCTCCAGTCTGTCTCTGTATCTCTCATCATTAATACTGATCTCTCCTGATTCAGCTTTAATGAGTTGATGTGTAGCTCCAAACGTCCACAAAATCAGATCACCAGGCTTTGTTTCAACATGAGTGTTGAAAATTAGAGTATCTCCCACCTCCACTGGCACTTCAGTATCTTCATGCCAAAGCAACACACAAAAACAGAAAACAGTGAATTAAATTTAGTTTGTGTTTTCAACATTAGATACATTAAGATGGCATTAATAACATTTTAGTTTGCTTTGTTCATAGTTTTAGTCCATCACCCTTTGAGGAAATTACATCAATTCACAAATCATGAATTAGTACAGTATACTGTAGTATTTATCATTTAAGCTTCAATGGCTCTTTTTCTACACTTTGAACATATAGCTCTTGGAGTTCATCTAAAATATCTTAAAATGTGTTCTGAAGGTGGATAAAGGTCTCTAATGTTTGAAACACGAGGGCCAGTAGTTAATAACAGAATTTTTATTTCAGGGTGAGCTAACACTTTAAATGCTTGAGGTTTTAAAAGCTGGGTTGGATTTTGAATGATTGTAAATGGTTATGTTTATGTAGACCTTTTAGTTTCCAAAGGAAATCGTTTTCTGAGAAGTTTCTCAATCTGTTTTTTAGAGATGGCACTAACTCAAATAAAAAAAGCATCTGAAAATAACTAAAGCATTTTGAAAATCTTTGTCGACACAGTACAAATTGTCTGAACAGTTGACTCAGTTAATGATGTACTCACCTTCGACAGTAACAGTTATTATCTTGGATTTGCCTTTGGCCTCCACTTTATAGACTCCAGAGTGAATGCTCCGGATGTTCGTGATGAGCAGATCTCCATATTTGTCTGCTTTCCACAGTTTGTCTTTGAATCTCACATTATCACTTTCATATGATGTAAAGTTACCTCCACTGAATTTAGCAATGAGATTTGTGTTGAACCACCACTTTATCTCATCATCCTCCTGCAGTTTCATTCCAGTCCTTAGACAGTGAGTTCTTCCTTCCTTCTCTTTCACTTCAGCTTCTACTTTAGCTTCAACTACAACTTCATCTGTCACAGTTGCACATAGAAAAAGAAAACATATATGTTTGTAAGAACAAGCTTGATTTTACAGAGTATGTTTTATGTAGCTAGCTTGATTTGGGACATTTATATGTTAAATATACTATCATGTTGACAGCATGTTTTAAAAGTCTGCTATCATGTTTTACTGCATTGCTAGCGGCTGTATAGTATGTTTCAGTAAAGTATGCTTTTGAAAATCATGTTAACAATGTGGTAAAAAATGGTAGCAATTTAAAAATGTTGCCATGTTTTACCATGCTGCTGCTACCCTTCTGAAAAAGGTTACTAGTTATGTATTTTGTTACTAAAGTTCTTCTAAACTTAAAAATAAGAAAGTACACTTAAAATCATAACTACATGTTTTACAGTAAGTATACCTGGCTTTAAGCTATTTTTATTCTTTTAATTGAGTGACCTATTCATTTTATTTTCACATATTAAATATTTCCCCAGTTACAGAGATAAAGCTTCAGGCTATTCTGAGACTAAATTGCATGTTTGAGGAGCCTAAACTGAAAATAGTCCCAAATGGTATTCAGTTGGTAGACTTGATACATGATGTATACTTTAAATATATACTTTAACATTACTTTAGCATCCATAAAAATGTACTTGAAACATACTTTTTCATACTGTTTGTTTTAGTGATTTTAACATGTCAGAAACAATCAATTAAAGTTTGGTTAGAAACAAATATTTTCCAACTTATTTCTAATAATGAGTATGCATTTATGTAGCAGTTTGTTTTTGTCTAGTTTGTGTTAGAATCATTACTTACCCACATGTTCTAGTTTTGAGATCTTGCGGCGATAATAATAATAAACAATAATAAAAGTTACAAATGCAGCAATCAACAGAACAATGATAATTATTCCAGCTATGGCTCCTGCAGGCAGACCTGAATGATGTGGAGCTGAAGAGAAAAGTGCATGTTTGTTAGAAACTCTTCACATATTGTCAGTTAAAGAGTCTGAATTCAAGCATAGATAGAAAGGTTTGCTATAAACATGCATGGTATTGTTACTGTTTAAAACACCTCGGTAATTGTTACTTTTCTAATGTCGTGTCAGATTGTTGAATTTACAATCATGTTCCCGTTCAATCATGTAAACTAAATTTTCAAACATGTATTCAAGTTTGATAAGCATTAACTCGTTTTTTTAAATGTGTTTGCTTTTAACAAATATGCACAATAAACACTCAAATGCAGAGGTCTTATTATAGCTGTTAATGTAGCTCTAATGTTGATATCATTAAATCATTAGCTTGCAACAAGAACATTTGATACAACCAAGCTGAGTAACTTTTGATACTTGAGCTTAAACTTATTGCAATTAGCTTAAACTCATTTGCAAATGAAACTTTTTTTACGAAGACAAATAAAGTATAGATTTTTACCTCTAATTTATATATATTATTGTGAGGATTTATATTTCAACATTTAAAACAAATCTTATCCTAAAGTATTGAGATTTTTGTATTTCTACATTTAAAAATTATTAAGTTCCTAATGAATCAAACTTAAAGTGAGCTGCCTTGTATGTTAACTAATATATATGTATATATATATATATATATATATATATATATATATATATATATATATATATATATATATATATATATATATATATATATATATATATATATATATATATATATATATATATTATTGTATGTATATTATTTTTTATTTATTTATTTATTTTTATTATTTTGTGACTATTAAAGTCTTCATAATTTGATACTCACCGGTGACAGAAAGCAGGAACTGCTGTGAGCTCTCGCGGCCACTGACTTGTACTTCATAAAGTCCAGTGTGTTCGGTTCTAGCATTTTTGATGGTCAGGGATCCAGTCTGATAATCCAGCTTTAGTTTGTTTCTGAATCTCTCATCATCAGCATTTAATAAAGTCTCGTTAGTTTCTACATCAATTTTAGCTAGGAGAAGGCCTTTATCTCCAAACCTCCACACTATCAGATCATCCCTCTGTAATTCAGTAGAGTCCTTCTGTAGAGAGACAGAATCTCCCTCCATCACGGACAAAGACTTCACTCCATCTGTCTTTTCGACTACAGCTGGAAAACAAATCAAATCAGAAATATTCTTTAAAACATGTTTAGCTGTTCTACAGATTTCCATCTAGAATCACTTGCAAGATTTTTCATATAAGTAATAAGGCTGGGATGATTAATCGATGCGTTGTAATTCATGAATTGTTAGTTTTTTAACAGCACATGGGGCTCTAGACTAGTTTTTAACTGCAGATGACCCTCTAGGCTAGTTTTTAACAGCAGGTAGCATTATAGGCTAGTTTATAACAGCAGATGGCACTATAGGCTAGTTTTTAACAGCAGGTAGCATTATAGGCTAGTTTATAACAGCTAATGGAGTGTGTGTGTATGTATGTATGCATGTATGTATATGTGTATACATATGCGAGAGGATGTCATGTGATCCGGAAGTGTACAAAAAGGAGCACCTGATTGTGATGAATACTGTCTGATGAAGAGCCGTGTGGCTCGAAATGTTACACACTTTGTGTCAGCCTTTTTATTTTAATAAATTTGTATTTTTGGAGCTTTGGTGTTGCCGCCTTTGATGAATATTTAGTAGTACATGCGTGTCATGATCAATGTGTTCTCTGCATTTATTTTGCACTAAAATTAACCCGTGCTAATGTTGTATTAACGCAATGAAAGTGTAGACGATGCTATTGTTATCCACTATAATTAGTCAGTGGTAATGCTGCCTTGTTTATGCACCATGTTATGAACTGTCAAACAGCATGTGAATATATATATTTTTTCTGCAAATAAAGAGCAAATTGTGGCATGTTGCAAAACATTAGCAACATGTGTTTTATTGTTGAGGTCACCAGCAACTAGTTGACGTCAACTTGACTTTAATGACATAAAAGTTGACTTCAAAAAAATCATTAAGCCTTTAACCCCTAGTCCCAATCCCCACTTTGGGAACCACTAGGCTAGTTACAGCAAATGGCACTCTAGGCAAGCCTTTAGGTTAGTTTAAAAAAGCAGGCTGTGCTCTAAGCTAGTTTAATAGCAGATGGTGCTCTAGGCCAGAGGTTCTCAAAGTGGGGGTCGGGACCCCCCAAGGGGTCGCGGGACAATGAAGGGGGGTCGCCTGGTGATTTTCAAAATAATATTAATTTTTATTAAACCTTAAGACTTACTGTATTTTATCAATTACCTACTGAAGAGAAAAAAAATAGTCGTTTATAATTACTATAAACTATAGTTACTATAGTAGCCTATAGTTACTAGTTCTATTGGATTGCGACTTCTCGGGTAATTACATTATACTAAAGACACAGCAATACTGTCAGATGCAGCAGATTTTGTAACACCAGGTTAAACTTTCTAGCCCATTTACAGCACTAACATACATAAAAAAAAAAAAAAAACAAAGAATAGACTTGGGTCTATTGGTGTGTTTGTGCGTGTCATTGCATACAAGGTTTCTGTATTTATAACCACCACCTCAGAGAATATTGGGGGTCACGAGTCACTGGCATTGTCATTTTGGGGGTCGCGGGCTGAAAGGTTTGGGAACCCCTGCTCTAGGCTAGTTGATTGTAATGTATCAGTTTATCACCCCAGTCCTAATACACATGCATGTATAAAAGAGGTACTCTTAAGAAACTCACCAAATACAAAAACACTAAATGTCTTAATGGTAGTCTTTTCTCTGGAAATGGTCAGCTTATATTGTCCTGAGTATCTGATTCTGATGTTTCTGATCGTGAGAAATCCAGTTTTTTGATCCACCTGCACTCTGCCACTGAATCTCTCATCCTCTGTTATGAAAATGGAGGTTAAATCATCCTTTCTTGTTATTTGAGAGATGACAAATTCTTTAGACCCGAACACCCAAAGTAGCGTGTCTCTATTCAGTATTTCAGTGAGGTTGGTTTGTAGAGTGACAGAATTTCCTTCCATTACTGATACAGTCTCATCTGCACCAAAGGCCCCTGGAGAGCATAAATGGACCATAAAAGATTAGCTGAAGCTGTTGCAACAGAATCAATCTCAATAAAGCAATTTACTGTGAAATATTTAAGCAAAAACAAATCTCAACCTGCATGTAGACCAGGCTTGCAATGCCATATTCAAATAGATAGTTCTCAAAAAATGAAAATTCAGTCATTATGTACTCACCCTCATGTTGCTCCAATCCTGTAAACATGTATTTATTCTGCTGAACATAATTAATGATATTTGGAAGATGGTCCGCAAACAAAAGATCTTCTCACCTATTTACTCCCATAGTATTTACTTTTCTTACTATAGCAGTAAATGAGTGATGAGATCTTATTGGATACTGGCGTTATCCGAAATATCTTCTGTTGTGTTCAGCAGAACAATAAAAATGTTTACACGGGAACAACCTGAGGGAGAGTAAATAAGTGTTCTTTTTTTTTTGGGTGAACTTTCCCTTTAAAATATAAATCAGGTTGTTTTTCTGTTTGTGATGCTGAAATGTAAGTCTCTACGTATTATACTACTTCTGCAACATGTGACATATGATCTGTGATATTAAATGTTTGGGAAATGTCTCTCAGGCATTGTTTTAGCAATGGCATTACTTGCGTATAATTACTTCACACGTCTAAAGTAGAATAATAGCAGAAAATAGACATTAAAATTAGAAATACTTAGGTCTCAATAGTTTACAATGTTTGAATAAAAGAGTTGGAGAGGAGTGGAAGAAAATTTGCACTGAACAGACGTAGTTGACTTGAAAAATCGCATGGACACCTGTTGCCGTCTACCCACTAAACAGCCCTAGTTTAATTAATATATCATTTATATGTTTATAAAGGTTCTATGTATTCACATGGGCTGTTTAGGTTCACCTTGTGTAAAAAGTTTAAGTGGTTTAAGTCAAAGGATTTTCATGCTATTTTCGAGTCAAATCAACTATTTGGGTTGAGATAACAAAACCTTGGTTTAAGACTCCTACAATAGTATCTACTGTAGATGCAGCCTTGATTACACAATCTGAAACTGCAAGTTTTGGACTTGCAATGTCAGAAATTCAATGCACTCAATTAAGCAACTAAGCTAGTTACCTAACTGTGAGGGGAAATTGGGTGTGTGCATTAAAAAACATTGCATGCAGCTCAGATTGCAACTGCACCAGACTTGTTTGCCGCATTTCTACCAGTGGTGTTAATTGTCTAAATTACTAAAATGCACAGACAGAATTTTGCACCTAATTTTTAAAAGTTTTATTATCCATGATAATGATCCCAAACACCGTTAATGAACAACAAAACAGTTCATAAATCACCTTTTCTGTATTTTATTTTTAAAAACATATTAAATATGAATGTTTATATACAGTACTGAATAAAAGTCTAGGCCACCAGAACATTTACATTGGCCTAACATTTTACCTATGAACACAACGATCAACATTAAATGCAAATAAATGTTTACATCTGAAAAGCAACGCGTTTTCCTCATTAACGTGTGATTAGCACGGCATAAAGTAATAGGTGATCTAAAAACACTGCAGTCATTAAACGGTCAAAACTTAAACACTTTTAATAGTTTTTAACACATTTGTTAAATATAGTTTATTGTGCATCTACCAAAATGTCTGTCATTCTGATGATTGAATGACGCCTAACGGTTTATAGAGATCGCTTTCACTTTCGGTTCGCTAAAACCTCAAACAAAGTCGGTAATATGTTCATTCGATAAATCCATTTTTGCATTTGTGTCATTGTTTTCACGTTGTTTATAAATTAAGGATGTGTTCTTCAGTGTCAGTTCAGGCATCTCTGAAATGTGAAACCAAAACAGAGAAAACTAGGTACTTACCTCCCAAAAGTAAAAAGCAAACGGACAGAAAACTCGTCTGCATGTTTTTAGTCTTATGTATGTGTTACAGATGTTTAACGGGGATACTTTAAGCTTCTTCTTATTCTGTTCCACTGATTCTCGATTGCGCTGTTGTTTCCTCTGCCGCACCCAGGTTCAACAGATCGAGCCGCAATCTGGTGTTTGCCAAAAACACACCGCGAGAGAGAATACCGCTGCATTCAGATCTCTTTCGCGACTAAAACGTGTACGTTTATTCTTGCAAGACATGCAGTGTCGAGACGAACAGACGTTTAATGAAAACAAATAGATGTGGACTTGAAGTTCCGCCGCAAAACTCCGACACTCCCACTATTCAGCATCAAATGGTGTAATGTAACAACTCTCTCGCGGTCGCTCGCTTTCTCTTTTTTTCATTGTGGGTTACAACCAAAGTGTCTAGGTACTTACTGCCACCTACTGTACAGGGAAATTCAAAGGTTCATTTACACTGTGTGGTTACATCAAAAACTATTTCCCCCTCACCTATATTCTGTGCTCCTCCAGTCTTGTATCTCTGAGGAAATTCAAGAGACCTTTGTTAATTTCCTTTATTTTTTCTTCAGACCCCTATGATCCTCTAAAACTTTATCTTTTAAGATTCTCCTTTCTGTTTTATATTTGTTACACTTCATAATAATGTGCTCTACATTTTCTGGAACATTACACTCATCACACTTATCTTATACGTTTTCCCCATTAACACGAGGGTGGATTTTAAACTGGTAAATACAAGTCCTAATAATCCCTTCTTCACTCCTGCATTTCCTCTAATAAGTTTTGCTATTATATGACTTTTGAATGTTGTAAAAATCTTGACTTTTGTTAACTTTGTGCCACTTTTTCTGCCATAATTCTTTAACTTTATTTTAATTAGTGATTTGGCTTCACCTTTACCAAATGGGATTTTCATTATTTCCTCATTCTTTAATTAGTGCATTCTTATCAATCACATCTGCTTTTTAATTTCTCCCACATCAGTATGAGTTCCATTTCCTTCTAAATTTAATTATTTATAACAAATATTTCTAAAAACTAAATCCTCTTTTCCGTTTGAATTCAAACTATTAAGAGCTGCAGCAGAGTCTGAACAAATGACCGCTCTTTCAGGTCTTACTTCTACCCATCGTAATCCTAAAATTATTCCTACAACTTTAGCTGTGAACACAGAGTTTGTTATTAATTATTTTACATTTTGTTATATTAAACTTTGGCATGTATGATAGCCTTTTGACCCATCAAAGTATATTTATGTGTACTTTTTATGCTCTGCCATATATATTTTTGAGTCAAATAATATCACCATTCTTTCGTACCATTTATTTGTAAGTTCTAGAAGTTAACAAGGGAAACCAATTTTTGAGAGAAAGATGATGTCGCAGAAGTACAAGAGGCTTACAGTTCAGCATTAACAGATTTTTTTAAGGGATAATTTCCCTCAAAAAGAACACTTATTTACTCTCCCTCAGGTTGATTGAGTGTTTAGGTTTCATTGTTCTGCTGAACACAACCAAAAATATTTATAATGCCACCAGCCAAACAGATCTCACCACCCATTTACTGCTAGAAGGAAAAATAAATGCTATGAGAGTAAATGGGTGGAAAGATCTTTTGTTTGCTGACCTTGAGCCATTTATACTGACATTCCTCCAAATATCTTCTGTTGTGTTCAGCAGAACAATGACATTTATTCAGGACTGGAACAACACGAGCGTAAATGATGACAGAATTTTAATTTTTTGGTGGACTATCCTATTAAATACAGAATTGCAAGTCTGGTCTACATGCTGGTTTCTTTTGCTGAAATCAGTTTACTGAGGGTGCCTCTGTTGCATCAGCTTTAGCTCATTTTCATGGTCCATTTAGGCTCTCCAGAGGCCAGTACAGAAGTAGAAGAGACTGCATCAGTGATGCAAAGAGATTCTGTGACTCTGCAAACCAACCTTAGAAATACTGAACAGAGAGACGCTAGTTTGGGTTTTTGGGTGTAAAGAAATTCTCATCTCTCAAATAACAAGAAAGGATGATTTAACCTCCATTTTCATAACCGATGATGAGAGATTCGATGAAAGAGTGCAGGTGGATCCAAAAACTGTCAGAATCAGACACTCAGGACAATATAAGCTGACCATCTAGAAAAGATTACAACCAATATGAAACACCTTACCTTTTAACTGTGATTTTTATTAATGAGAAATTGTACAAATCAGAAAGTATTATTTCAAATTATGTGTATAAAAGTACTTATTTACATTGTGGTAATAGAATAACTACACTATAATTAATTAAAAAAAATACTTCTTGTTAAAAGATTGTGCTGTATCTACAGTCAGCAATATACTATTACATGACGTCCATTAGTAGTAACGCCTACTGGTGACCTGATTCACTTTGCACTTGTGACATCCATTGCCAAAGTTGTTTGTGGTGTGAACAGGACGCTTCTGAGACATTTTCTCACAGTGTTGATGAGGAAACTGATAGTAAATATGATTTATGCTCTTGTTTTGACCTCAATGTGCTTGTGGCATTCGGTTGGTAAGTTGATATTTCTTTGTTTTAGTGTACTGTCAGATTTATTTATTTTTCTATATACATGCAGCTATAAAAGAAACATTGAAATTTGGCTTTGAAGCAGTTGGGTACCAGTTTGTGTTTAAGTAAAGTGCTTATTAATTAATGAATTAATTAATGAATTAATTAATTAATTAATTAATTAATTAATTAATTTATTTATTTATTTATTTATTTATTTATTTATTCTATAAAGCTCTGAATATTTCTTCCAAATTCTTTAGAAGCAGTTAACAGTGAAAACAGTAACTCTCAAAAAAAAAAAGAAAAAAAGATTTGAGTTCACGGAGCATAAACTTTCTTAAAGACAAAGTTAACACAAATTCTGTAATTTCCTTGTTCAAAACCAGTTTGAGATTTTTTTTTCTGTTGAACACAAAATTGACAATTTTTTAACAATTGGCCCGAGTAACAGATTTTTAAATTGTTGATTAGGAATTGGGCATTTTTCCATTTAATTTTGCTTTCTAAACTGAAGCTGAAACACTGATTTATTATGTATGTATGTATGTATGTATGTATGTATGTATGTATGTATGTATGTATGTATTTATATGTGCGTGTTATTTTTATTTCATTTTGACCATTTTAACTGAGATTTTTCAAGTCACTTCTTTAAAATACGTTGTGTCAGAACTGTCTGAATAAGACTAAAACTGATCCAGAGATCACGTTTTTATGTTTCACTTCTGTTTGCAAGTGGAAATGAGTCCAGAAGAAAATATAAAGAGAGGAACAAATCAGTCCAGTTATGCTCATCAACATTTTTCAGTTTTACACAACATGAACTGTCTTAAGAGACCTCTTCCTCATATTCATCTCCTCCTTTGTTTAGGAGAAATTCTACTTTGACATTTTAATTTAATTGAAACCGTTTAGGGTCAGTCTTGCTTCATTATGCAGCAGGCACATCATTACATGTCTAAACCTAAATGGCGTAGCTAAAACAAGGCTTATTTTGACCTCTAGTAGATGGAAATTAGACTGGTATGACTGTCTGTCTAATCTGATGACTAGTCCATGACTAGTTTTGGGCTGTTTTTAGACGTCTATTAGATTTTCAGAGAACCCAAATTTTGTATTGTTTTAGCCATGCCATCTATATTTAGGCATCTATATTAGATGTCTATTAAATATAGAATTGCTTGCCCAGTGCATGGCTCTTGAACATGAGTGGTTTAGTTTAGCATAAGGCTTTTGCAAAGTTTGCACAAAACATGTTTGATTTGTTATTCAGATATGACGGAGGAAGTGAAGATCATATCAGTGAGGGAGGGAGATCCTCTCGCCCTACACACTGATGTTGATGAGGTATCGAGATATTTGTTGATACAGTGGATGTTTGAAAATACTCGAATAGCTGAAGTCAACAGACTCTCAAAGATCAACTCCACATATGATGGTCCAGAAGAGACTTTCAGAGGTAGACTAAAGTTAGATCAGACTGGATCTTTGACCATTACAAACACCAGATCCACTGATTCAGGACTTTATAAACTATCGATCTACAAACTACAACAGATCAGCTACATACATTTCCAAGTCACAATCTATGGTGAGTATAAGAGATTTACAGCCTTATTTGAGCGCTGTTTGAATTTTAACTTTGTCGAATTGCTTGTTTTCAGTTATATTTATTATTATTTTAGTCTACCAATAGAAACGTTTGTGAATTGTTTAAGATATGATGCTGAAATAAATAGTCATTTATCATTGACTTCATTCACAGGAAGATCATCAGGCTCAGACTGTGTGTCGTCCAAATGCACAAAGAGCAATTCAGTCACCAACCAGCCTGATGAAACCGACATTACTAAACTCCCTCAGTCAACTTCAGGTGTGTATTAGCATTAATTTACAAAAGAGCATGTTAATGTACATTAGTGTGTGTGTTTCTTTTTCGGTTTGTTGACATTAAAACTCAATAGCCAAACTAATCTACTTGTGGTCATACAGAGGGTTAATTTCTGTATTTTTATTTATTTATTTTGTTGGTTGGTACATAACCCAGGCACGTAAATTTAAAAAAGTAACATAAACGATAGTATGGTAATAAATATGGGTAACACTTTAAGAAAACAACTCGCACTATTTCTACTGGCTTATTGCCTGCTTGTTATTTAGAAACTAACTGTTTGTTAGCATTTATAATGTATTATCTAGGAATGCTCCGATCAAAATTTTCGCACCTAATACCGAGCATTGATTCTTGCTTGATTCTTGCTTGATCTGCCAATACTGACTACCAATTCTGATGCTTCGAGCTTTATAATGCATTAAGCACATTTTCCCTCAGAGTATGACACTTGAAATGGAGATCTCCTCTTACCTGAGAAAATAAATAAATGATGTTCCAAATAATCCCTTAAACATTTAACTTATAACCACATGTCATGGTCAGAAGCAGCTTTACAGAAAATAATAGATAAAATAGCTAAAAACACAGAGTTTTGAGTTTTTATATATGTAAAAGAATACATGAATACATGCAAGGTCATCAACTCTCTTGCTAATTGACTCTCATCTCCGTGATTTCCGGGGTATTTTATGTAATTCAAACACCTGCGATCGGTTCATGAGATCGGCCAAATTGGCGAGTACCAATCAAGTCATAAAATGTGATTATCGGCTGATACCGATTTCTAGCTGATCGATCGGAGCATCCCTATTATTATCTTAATTATTATTACCATTATTCTTCCCAATATACCTAAACTTAACCACTACCTTACTAACTATTAATAAGCAAAATGATTTTGAATATTAAAGCAAAAATAGAGCAAAAATTGAGCAATTAGCAAAAAGTCTTAGTTACTGGTTTCTTAATAGTGTGAATTGTACATTAAGAATAAAGTGACATAAATATATCACACTTTGTCACACTTTTTGCATAAATTTAGTAAATAAAAAAGTGATTGAAGTAAAAGTGGTTAAAAAAGGAAGAAAAAAGAACTGACCCAAATAACATGTTCCACTTCTGCCTGCAAATGAAACTACATGCAAAACAAACACCACAAAGAGGAACGAAAACAGTTAACAATGAAAACAGTAACTCTAATTAAAAAAAAAAACACAGTTCACGCAGCTTAAACTTTCTTAAAGACAAAGTTAACACGCATGAAAATTCTGTAATTTGCTCGTTCAAAACCAGTTTGAGATTTTCTTTTTTCTGTTGAACACAAAAGAAGATCATTTGAAGTATGCTGTGGCTGGCATTCATTGACTCCCATTGTATTTTTTTCCTCCAATGCAATTCAATAAATGCCAGTAACCAGCATAAATCCAAATATCTTTTTTTGTGTGCAACAGAAGACAGAAACCTGTTATTTTAGGGTGAACAATCACTTTATCTGTCCAGCAGAGGTCTCTGTATATCTTACAAGAATTTATTTATTTTGTTGTAGTTGTTTATGGGCTAAAATAGTTTTTAAAATCCAGGCTTATTAGAGGGTTTAAGAATGAATATGTAAATATGTGCAGTGTGCTGTTGTGTCAAATGCAAAATAACAACAACAAAAATGACAGCAGTAAGAAAAATATTTTAAAAAGTATGAACTCTTGGCACTTCAGTCAAGTTTATTTATATTGCAGTTAATAAATTAGATTGCTTTAAATTAAGCCACTCTATAGTATTAAACATTTTAAAATGCTCTGTTTCTTTTAGTTAGAAATGTCCCATTTAGAAAACTGATATATGGCAAATTACTTATGACATGCAAGTTCAAATTTGGATTTCTCATATATAAAATATGTTATATATATATACCACATATATTTCATAATATTGCAAAAATGGACTCTTGCTTATTTCTTCTTTCAAACATTGTAATTATAAAAAGGTACATATCATATATATATATATATATATATATATATATTTTTATAAGTTGTTTACCTTTTAAGACTATTTATTTAAAAACAAATGTTACACATATACTGTATGCTATATGGAATGCAAAAACTTTAAAGCTCAATATCCCAAAATCATTCAGAACGCAGATAGAACCGTATAATTCCAAGGTGACTAAATGTTCAATAATATTAGCTATAATTTAAATATATGGCCATATGAGAACATACTGTATACATGTAATTATATCTTATTTTTTGAAAGTATATGTATATATTTGTAATTACAAAGGTTGGAAAAAACATAAATAAGTGACCACGACATAAATTTTATATGTAAATATCAAATCCAAATATGAACATGAATGTCATTATGTTGTTTGCATATATTTCCATTTATCAGATTTCAAATAATGGACAATTGCCAATTCTAAACTAAAAAGTCTCTCTAGTGTTTGTTTTTATACATGCATCTAAAGTCAAAAGAGCTGAACTGGTAATATTAATGAAAAAAGACTCTTCAGGCAAAGAATATTTGCCATTGACCAATGGGAGTTTGAATAAGTTAACCAATCAAAGCAATGAAAACTGATGTTGCTGAGCTGTTTGAGCTCCTGGAACAAACCAGCATTGCCAAGTCAGAGGTTTTCCCAGAGAATTTGGCCAGTTTTGATCTGTGTCCTCGGGTTTTAACCAGGCAAACCAGCATTGCGCTAGTCAGAATGGAAATTTCATTGTTTTGTAATGGCCATTGGGCCATATTTTTGTTGTGAAAACCTGGCAAACCTGAAACAAACTTCAATTTGCCCTTTTTATTGCACCAGTTGCACAACCTACTTTTTGTATTTCGCTTAAAGCATACCACGTGGTTTAAATCTGATATATACAAGTTATTGACATATGTAAATTATTATTATGGTCATTATGATGTTATGAAATCTTGTTTTGTTTGTCCTTTACATGTCACAGCGGAAGTGAAGACCATATCAGTGATGGAGGGAGATTCTGTCACTCTACACACCGGTGTTACTGATGTACAGAAATATTTGTTGATACAGTGGATGTTGGAAAACACTCGAATAGCTGAAGTCAACAGACTCGCTCAAAACCGTGCAGCTTACGATGGCCCACATGGAAGATTCAGAGATAGACTGAAGTTAGATGAGACTGGATCTCTGATCATCATAAACACCACAACCACAGACTCTGGTCTTTATAAACTAACACTTGTCATCCAAGAAAGCATCTACGTAAATTTCAACCTTACAGTCTATGGTAAGTGATATCCTTTAATGACATCGTTGTTCATCACCTTTTATGAAACCAACATTGTTAATTCATCTTATGAAATATCTCTGATTCCATTTTAAATCCTGTCAGTATCATCATCGCCAGAAAAATCATTGATTAGCTTGATGAACAACCAGACTGAGGATGCCAACATTACTGATCTCCATCAGACAAGTTCAGGTATGTCACATAATATTAGCATTTATTTGCAAGAGAGAAAATGTTAAGTATTAAATCAAAGTTTACTCATCTTATTTTTTAGATGTATGTAGTAGTAGCCTGCTTGATATAAACAATATATCTGTGCACTTCATTGTTTTGTTAAAAATAATTGCTCTCCTGATCATTAATCAAATGGCATTCTCTATACCCCCTTGAAATGAATTTTCCTCAGTTCTGGTCACATAGAATGTCTTTAATCAGTGCATGTGTCATTTCTGCCATGCTTTTGTCCTTTTCTCAATTGACCTTCATTCTGTTAGCAACGCGCATCTTCCAATAATGCAGTTGGTTTCCAAAGTATAAAATCCAGCACCGCCCTTCTTCTTTTTTTTTTTTTTTTTTTTTTTGAACAATGTGTTTATTATTTTTTTTATTATGCAAGACAGGTAACACAAAAACAGAATTACATTTTGCCGCAATTATTTCCCACCCCAACAAAAGAACATCACTCTCTTCTCCTTTATATAAATACACAATATTCTCTTACAAGAGACAATTTAAATGCAAAACATATATTGCTAGGTACCCAAAAACCAAGTATACATAACCGTACTTTACACATAAAGTTACATTATCCAACAAAACAAAACACAGACACAAAACAAAACAAAAATAAAAAATATTTTTAGTTACACCTCTTATAATAAATGATCAATATTATTGTTGTTAATGTAGTAATAAAACGGCTTCCATATTTCTTCATATTCATCCATTTTGTTTCTGCCCTTCATTTTAAATTATATATATATATATATATATATATATATATATATATATACATATATACATATATACAAACGGGGGCGGCGCAGTGGGTAGTGCTGGTGCCTCACAGCAAGAAGGTCGCTGGGTCGCTGGTTCGATCCTCGGCTCAGTTGGCGTTTCTGTGTGGAGTTTGCATGTTCTCCATGCGTTCTCGTGGGTTTCCTCCGGGTGCTCCCGTTTCCCCCACAGTCCAAAGACATGCAGTACAGGTGAATTGGGTAGGCTAAATTGTCCGTAGTGTATGAGTGTGTGTGTGAATGTGTGTGTGGAAGTTTCCCTGAGATGGGTTGCGGCTAGAAGGGCATCCGCTGCGTAAAAATGTGCTGGATAAGTTGGCGGTTCATATCGCTGTGGCAACCCCGGATTAATAAAGGAACTAAGCCGACAAGAAAATGAATGAATAAATTCAAACGGATTCAAGTCACGACTTTTCTTTGTTACCCTTTTCAAGATTTAATACAAGTCTTTTGTGTCTTCAGAATATTTCTGTAAAGTTTCAGCTCAAACACCCATCAGATTATTTATTATACCTTTTAAAATATTTGAACTGTCTGCTCTGAACACAATGTAGCTGTTTTTGTTGCCTGTGTCTTTATTGCTAGTTCTCCTCGCCCACCGTTCCCACATGCCTGTCAGAGGGCCCTATCATACACCCGGCGCAATGTGGCGCAAGGCGCGACGCAATTGTTGCTTGCTAGTTTCAGCTTGGCGCAAGAGTCGTTTTAATGTTTTTCGCCATGCTGTTTAAATAGCAAATGCATTTGCGCTCATATGTGCGCCCACAGGCGTTCTGATCTAAAAAGGAAGGCGTGTTAAGGCGCATTTCTTGCGCGTTGCTATTTTGAGAAACTATGATAGTCTGTGCTCTGCTTAACTGTTTTCTCTCTAGTGAAGGGTTCAGTTTTTACACTTACAAAGTCCTTCATGTAAATAGCAAATTCGCTATGGTGCGACACAACTGACTCTTAAAGGGAATGGGATCTGAGACTCTGATTGGTTTATTCTCAAAAAAACATATAACTTATTAAGAAAATAAGCTCAACCCTTTTAGATCATGCACCATGGTGCAAAGTGCATTTTTCAGTCCTTATATTAGCAAAAGTGGATTCTGACACGCCATAAATTAGTTTGCGCCCTGCACTTTGCGCTTTGGGCATGGATAGTCAAAATAGAGCCCAGAGTGTGCCTTAATCGGCTGCGTCAGATAAACAGCACAGTGACAGACATGAAGGAACAGATCTCACAAAACATTTGTGGAAAATACTACAGTAAGAAATTCAATCAATCAATCAGCTTTTATTTATATGACACTTTACCACAACCAATATTGAAGAAAGGCGACAATGCAAAACAGTACAAAAAACGTCAATAGTATTCCAGAGTTTAGCACCTGCCACTGCAAAAGAGCGGTCACCCCACTGCTTGTATCTGCTTGTATCTTGACCGAGGGACTTTAAGCAGAAGTTGGTCAGCAGATCGCAAAGTTCTGCTTTGTTTGTGAATGTGCAAAATTTTGCATAAGTAAGTAGTAGCAAGGCCATTGACGGCAACTTTATCAATGAATATTAATGTATGTGTTGTGGAGTTGCAGTCACGCACAATGTCATTACAAAAGGTATGCACACACACACACACACACACACATACACAGACACACAAACACAGCGGACACACAAATAGCGTCATAGGATACACGTTAATATCTACTGCTGTATGGATATCCGTTATACAAAATAAACCTGATTTAATGTCCACAAACCAGGATTGAAGCGTCTTCTTTTATAATTGTACTGACACGCGGCTGTGGTGATAAAGACAGTAAAAATGCTGTAACTCAATACAAACGTGCAATGTTTTAAAACGCTTTAAACTTGTAAAACTCATTCTTGATCACATTTGGTGATGACTGATGATCACAGAGAGCTGAACAGATCTATAAATCCAGGTTCCTTTGCACACATCCTGTCTTGTTAATATGATTATACATGTTACTACGGAGACATTTTAATAGCATGGGTGGAGAAATAGCACTCCTATGTTATGTTGCGGTTGGTCAAAATGGGAGGGATTTGAATCCTATTTTAACGTCAGGCAATTAAAAAAAAAAGTGACTTATTACCATTATATCACCCCAACATGGCAGTGGACACATACCAACACACAGTCCTGTCCAAACAGCTTGCAAAAGATGATTTTCATCATAGGTGCCCTTTAAGGTTGTGTGTTTTCACTACACTTGCACTAGAGGGAGCTAAAGGTTTTGCTGTCATGACTCTTCAACAGTCTCTGCTCTATTTCCAAATCTCTGTTCTAAAAACATCAGAACAACAGTTCTAAAAAAAAAAAAAAGTATTCTAAAAACAGAACACCACACAGAATTACTGTTCTAACTGTGATGTCATCTGTATTTATTTAAACATGTGTCAAACGCTTATTTCTGATTCTTTCCTTTCAGACTCTTTCTACTGTTGTGGTTTACCCGAAACTGTGATTCGATTGGTCATTTGTGCACTGGTGGGCGTGGTTGTTCTTGCCTTGCTGGTGTATGACGTCAGAGCTACAAGACTTGAGCTGAGACGGGCGGAGGAGACCAGGCTTTACCATCAGATTCCTGAAGTAAAATCAGAGCTACAGCCTGAACTGAGCAGAAAAATGAGCAACAGATATGTTTACTAAAGGTTGCTGATGTAGTCCCAACAGGAAAACTAGCAGCTAGCTATTTATCAACCCGTTATTCTTCATATATTTACCATGTTTTGGTTTGTACAATGATTTTACTGAGCTAGCAAATTAAACAAGTGGTTGTAAATCCAGCTACCATTAATAAATAGCTAACTAGCGAAACGAATTATGACATTGAATAATCTAATAAGCTCTCATTTCTCATCAAGGCTCATTAAGTTTAGGAGAGAGTGCAGAGATATTTTATTACTCTATCTCTACACACGGGATATGATCCTAGAAAACAAAACTAGTCAAAAAGGTAATTTTTTTTGGAAGTTACTTAATAAAACCATTTAAGTTTTGCAAGAATATTTTGTGAATAACAGCTCAAATTGGTAAATCAAAAGTAAAATTTCATTTGTTTCTTACCTCTACATTAATAGAGGGATACGCTGAAAAATGCCCCCTCAGATTGTACTATGTCTTCAAAAATATGTTAGTTTACTTGAAAGCAGCAAATAGGACATCTTAAACTTTTAAAATCATGCTAGTGCTCATGCTTTTGCCATTAAAAAAGTAGTGTACTTTTACTCGCTAGATGGAGCTACAACCGTGTCATTTGTCTTAGGAGACGCACATTGACTATATATTCAGTCAGTGTTGGGTAGTTACATTTACAATACAGTATAACAATCCTAAGCTGATTTTAAACTTTTTAAAAAAGTATAATAAATTAACGCAAGAACAGCATAACACACGAACAAGAACACATTAAGTTACTTTTTAAAAAATGACTCAACATTTAATCTAATTACTTTTAAAAGTATCTTTACAAACACTGTAAATATTTTGATACACAACAGTATCAGTATTTGAGCTAGTATTTACACACACACACACACACACACACACACACATATATATATATACAAAAAAAAAAAAATATATATATATATATATATATATATATATATATATATATATATATATATATATATATATATATATATATATTGCACCAAAACATTACTAGAAGTGAAAAACAAACACATAAACAGAGCATTTTTTTCTGAATGTAGGCATAAAGTATCTGTATGACCTTGTACTTCCACCAAGAGTCTGAAGAGCACATTTTACTTTACTTTACACTTTACTATTCAATGCATCAGAATTGAATCAATGTTGCACACATTTGTTTTACACTGAATGTAATTTTTGATTTTGAGTGAACTCAAACAAACAAAAGTAAAGAAAACAAACCATCCTAACATCCTTTCGTAGTTTTAGCTGGCTTTTCATCTTCATCTTTGTGCAAACAGCTGGATAAAAGAGAGAAACTTAGCAAGAAACATAAAATTACACTTATAGACTTTACTTATTATTATTAGTTGTAGTAGTAGTAGTAGTAGTAGTAGTAGTAGTAATAACAATAATAATAATAATATAATAATGGTAATGTCATGTCATGTAATAAACCGAAGACTTCGTTGCAAAGGCCTGCTTTTAAAAGGCCTACGTTATCTCAATGTTGTGTGATTTTACAGCCAGTTAAATGTCAAGTTTCATTTTTGCTATTTGCGTGTAATGACTTTTATCTAATACATCTTCATTCTAGTTTTGCGCAGCACGCTCTAGGGCCCCATCACTCACCATCAGCCGACCTGACCAGACATTTATCATGATAATTTGGTGAAGTGCGAACATTCTGTCTGAAAATTCCCCAATGCTAATTTCCATCACGCATGTAAATGTTAGAAGTGGTCACGCTGATAAATATTGAATTAGTATAAAAGAACACCTCTGAATGTAGAAAAATGCATTATGGGCACTGATGGTGAAGTCGTGGCTTCTATCAATCACAAAACATGCAAACAATGTTTCTTTCGTTGCAAAAACACAATGGTGGGAGAAAATCATCAGTCATGATTGGTATTAGTTTCAGTTTCAGTTTACTTTTTTGCCATTCAAAACATCATAATTGTAATGTAGAATGAAATCACGTTGCATGGAACCTAGAAAGAACATAAAAAACACTATAAAAACCCAACATAAAAATAAGCTTTTGTAATTTCATAATTATATATAAATATATCTATATATAAAATAGAAACCAATTAAAAAATCACCAAAGGTATTAAATAAATACTTAAATACTTATTGCAGAGTTTGTAATAATATTTACAATTTGTGTTATGGTATCTTTACAGTTTTCAAGTGTAAGACTATAAATCATAGGTCTCAAACTCAATTCCTGAAGAGGCCGCAGCTTTGGACAGTTTTGCTCCAGGTTGGAGTCAGGGTTGGAGCAAAACTGCACAGAGCTGTGGCCTCTTCTGGAATTGAGTTTGAGACCTATGTTATAAATAAATAAAAATCTGCAAGAAATCAAACATATCGCCTATTGGTTTATTATTAAAGTAAAACGGTACAAAACTTTAACTATAGCTGTTTTATATGGCAAAATATATTTAAAAAATCTATTTAATTTAGTGTAAAATGTCATATGTTTGTTGACTCAATCAAGTCATCATGGTTTAATAGGAAACTGCTTAGCATTAATGTGACAAGAAAACCATAACAAAGGAAATGACATCATAGATGGGACGCATACAATGTAAAACCCAAAATGTTAAGGTAACTCAAACTGTCTGAGGAAACCGATTGCTACAAACCATTTAAGTTCAAAAACTAATCCTAATGAGTACTGTGAACTTAATCTGTTTGAGTTAACGAAGCAATTTGAGCACAGTAAAACCCAATAAATGAAGAGAACTCAAACCAACTGAGTACTCTAAAACCCAATAAGTTATGGCAACTCAAACAGTTTGAGGAAACCGATTGCTACAAACCAATTGAGTAAAAAAACGAATCTATATGAGTACTGTGAACTTACTCCATTTAAGTTGAATTAATGAGGTATTTAACAAACCCATTACCTTTAACACTGAGTTCAAAACTCTTTTCACAAGAGTAGAATTAACTTTCAGTCAATTTTGAGTTAACTGCACTCATTTAATTGATAAAGTTGACTGTTGGGTTTGCAGTGTAGTCATGACTCTGTAAATGTTAGCAAGTGTCTTAAAAATAAGGTAAACCTCAAAGCTATTTATTTTTATTAAAATAAATATGTCATTTAAAATTTATTCGATTAAAGATATAATCATGTTTTGATGAAGATAGATATGTACAGACTCAGAGGAAAATACTTTTTTTAATCTTATGAAAGTGCAACCTTTATTGTACATTTAAAAAAACGGTAACACTTTACAATTAGAGTACATGAATAATCATTTATTAATATGCTAACTAAACATTAATTTATTATGAACTAATGATGCATTAATGTATGCACTATCAGCTAACTTTAACTACAACATGAAACATGAGTTAATGTGTGAATAACGGCTACTTTAATTACTAGTACACTGTAAAAAAAAAAAAAAAAAAAAACATAATTTACTGTTTATTTCCTGCAGCGAAACCGTTTAAAAAATGTAAAATGGGAGCTGTTAAATTGCTGAAATTTACTGTAAAATATCAGACATTAAATTTCTGTAATTCGACCTCTGTTATTTTACAGTAAATTTCTGTAATTTAATGTCCGATATTTTACTTTTTTTTCGGCACCCCAGCTGCCAGAAATAAATCATAAAATTACGGATTATTTTTTTTTTATATTGTACATGATTGTTTGCTAATTCATGTAATAATTGCCACAAAAGTTTATGCTTAATATAACCATCATGAACTCCTAACATGTTAATGTACAATTGTATCATGACTTTACTTGGAGGGGCACATCATTTACTCATTCTTAACTACTCATGAACTCCTTATGCACATCTGTCTTGAGCGTTTACACTGAATAACAATTGAAAAATGTTCAGTCAACATCAGGAGTTCAAGAGTAGTTAAGGATGAGTTTATGTGCCCCTCCAAGTAAAGTCATGACATAATTATATATAATTATGCTATTTACATATTAACACATCATTATTCATGTACTTATTGAAAAGTGTTACCAAAAAACTACATCTCCCTACACTATATATAAAAATCTTCACCTTTAATCCTCAGTGATGCTTTTGTTATATATGATAAAGTGTAGCAGAAGTTTCAGGAAACTAGACCCCTCCTTCTGTACAGTTACATATCCTGTTTTTGTCTTTCAGTTTTGGACAAATCTACAACATTGATAGCTGCAGAAATGTGTATGTTCGATATTTGATGTTGTTAGTCTTAATGTACATCTCAGTTTCATCATACACGTTTACCCTTTTGTTTTTCACCAAATAATGTGTTAAAAATCTGTTTTAATTAAAACAACACGTTTGAATCACTCTGTGTGGTCTTTGACCCATTTAACACTATATTTTGTGTTGTGTTAAAGGAAATCAGTCTATGAGGTTTCTGTTTGCAGGACAGGAAAGAGGCCCTTCACCCACATGCCACGTATCTCACTTGAAGACGGTCGTCCATATATCAGACCAAAACCACATTTCCTTCCATAGATAAAGGAATCAAGCCTTTTTCGAGTTTCGATTTGACTAGACCTAACATGAGTGTTAAGAAAAATGAATAAGGTGGAATCAGTTCGCAAGAAAACCAGTTGTGTGTGCCCACAAGAAACACATGCTTATAATCAGGCCACTATAGTGTTTTGAACCACAATAATAACATTTATCATATTTACAACTCTGTTCTTAAATGATCCAGCATTCTGCGCAGAATTAACTATAGTAAACAATTCAGTGGATGCAGTTCACAGAACAAACGTAAAGTAAAAAGTACTTATATTCAGCCCACATAGCAAAGAATTCTGGCCCAGATTTGGCATAAATCTGGCACAGGAGGCATTTATCCAGCGCTGATATACAGCATGTGGGCCAAACATGGCCTGGGTTTGGCAGAGGTGGCACTGTCTTTAAGGCGACACACAATACTTGGGGCAGATGTAAATTGTAGTATTTGGCCCACATGTTTATAATAGATATGTGGGTCATGTAAGTTTGGCCTATCTTGAGCCACATTTTAAATACATTTTTATTATTTTTAAATAAGGAAAAAAATCAGGTCACTTCGAGAAAAAAGCACACACCTAGCAAGCCTAAAGTGCAATGAGCCCGGAAAGTATTAGGATATTTATTTAGAATACTACAGAATTACCATTGCAGATTCATTCAAGCACTTATGATTCAAAAACACTAGTATTTACTATACATTATTATGGATGGATGGATGGATGGATGGATGGATGGATGGATGGATGGATGGATGGATGGATGGATGGATGAATAAGAATTATAGATGGAACGATAAATGGATGGAACGATAAATGATAAGAGGGATAAAGAGATAGAAAAATGGATAGGTGGATAGATGGATGGACAGATGGATGGATAGAACATTGGATAGATAAATATAACGATAGATAGATAGATAGATAGATAGATAGATAGATAGATAGATAGATAGATAGATAGATAGATAGATAGATAGATAGATAGATAGATAGATAGATAGATAGATAGATAGATAAGAATTATAGATGGAATGATAAATGGATGGAACGATAGATGATAAGATGGATGGATAG